AAAAAAAAATTAATTTCACTCATACCTGGGTTGATGTGAATGAAATGAGGGGGAAAATTCGAGAACTGCCTTCTGAGCAAGTTACTTTATCGAATCTGTGGGCATTCGGTGTCTTTAACATCAGGAAATTGCAACCCAACTCCATGTCGTTTTTTATAGGGTCCAAGGCACCCATCCAAAGGACATTCACCTTCGGATTCAGAACGATCTCAAACCGCATCGCACACGAGGCCAGCACCACAACGGACAGCAACATACCGTATCAGCTAAGATGGGACAGCTGTGTTCCTGTAGACGAGCCACCAAAGTCTCGAGATGACTCTCAACTTCGACCCCTTCGGAAAGCAGGAAACTCAACCAGACCACTTCTACCTTTTCCTCCTGAAACGAAGACACATATATTCCCATGAAATTCCTCAAGGTTGGCAACATTTTAAAACAAAGGAGTTTTATGAGTCACCAAAGGAAAATCAAGAACAATTAAAGCCATTATCACCTGTCAATATAGTTTGTACAGCGTTGGCAAAAAAAGACCAACAATTAACATATCTCTCCTTCCAGGAAGAGAAGCAGCTGGACCATTCCCTGACACCAATGTTTGAGTGAAATCAGCTTTGGCACATAAAACAGTGTAATCATGGAATGTCACACTGGAAAGCTCATAATCTTTTTGGAATAAGACTTACTTCTGCTTTACAAAAAAAAAGGCAATTTGACTTTATCAACTAGCATATTTCTTCCATCTTTTTGCAGTTTTTCTGATCCTCAAAAGTCACATTGCCAAATCCCATGGAAGAGTGCTCCTGGGAGTAATAAAGCTGGAGGAAAAAATTGTCGAATGGTAGAGACAGCAGTTTTTACAAAAATAAAGGCATATGACAAATAACAGTGTTTTTCACTTGAGTTAGACAATTTTTCACTTGACTCAGATGCCTGGGACATTCCTCATGCATGAGTGCCGAAGTTAAGTGAAAAACACTGTATGAGAAAGGGAGTGAAGAAAACTCCTTCGTGGATTTAAAGAGAGGTACAAAACAACAGACAAGGTCCATGCTTTCTGAGATAATGCAAATTGCCAATAGCACACCCATATCCAATTAGCTTTTCATATCAATTAACATGATAAGAAAAGTACTCAATCATCACCTTTCATTCATTCTTCCAGGAGACATTCATTGGCTGGAGTTCTTGAGCACACATCTCCATCCTTTTCATCTGAATTTAGAAAAAAAAAAGGAATATGGTTAGCTGGCATTTCCCCCATACATTTCTCATGAGAAAACAAAGGATCACTGGTCAAACATGGGGGGGAATATGATGGGAGGAATGTAGATTGGGTTTGAGAGGGAAATATAAAGAAAACAGGAATGCGTCAACTCACAGCAACTGATTTTGCTGAGGCACATCCTCCCCTTGAATACATCTCCATCCCTCCGGGCCAATCCACATTCCTACTATTCCAAGCTTCCTCTTGACTAAGCTCACCCATGTTTTCCTACTTAAACAAAGAGAGTACCAGGGAGAGTGGATTCATTTCCATTATGATACAGGTCACTAAAAAAATCAGTCACAAAATTGAATTACAGACAAGAACATGAGACCAAATGGTAATCCTTAGGATTTATTTTCCCACATAATCCCCATGTACATTAACAAACACTTGTCCCACCTCTATACAGGCCTGTGTGTGCTGGTGCCATTGGATGATGTGACCTGGCATCAGAGCCATTCACATCAAGCTAACTGCACCTCTTCAATGAAATGAAATGCCAAACACCAAGAGTTTTTTGAAATGGTCACTGGAGATGATGGTTGCCTGATGCAAGATCCAGGCTGTACTATGAATGTAAAAGTATTGAACCCAGAATATTGTCAACACCACAGTCATCCACTGTGACTTGCATGACTTGGTCATGCCAGAGGATTGCTCCACATGCAACAGGCCATGGTTTTTCCTGTAGATTGCATCTTGCAAACTTTGCCAAATGACATAATGCTCTGCTGTTACAGTGGAGCCTAATTCCACATACCCAAGCCTGTATACAAGTGGGACAAGTGCCTTGATGCACAGGAGAATGGGTGAAAATATCAATCCCAAGGATTGATTCAATCTACCTTCACATGCCCGACTGTAATTTTGTGATCCTCATAATAAATATGACAAATATATTACATAATAAATATGCATGTCATCTGAAAAGTCATAAGTATTGGTTCATAAGTTATATATATCTCAGCATAATCTCATTAAATCATCAAGAAATTTTTTTAAAAGGAATGTTACCTACTCAACCAGTGGCAGATACAGAAATTTTTCATAGGGGGGGTTCCCTACTTCCTACCTACCTACCCCCCTGCCTTCTAACACTCCCCGCCCTATCGCCTTTTTCATTTCTCGTCTGGGGTAAAAACTTGAATATCTATTTCACTGGTCCCAATACATATTAATGTAGAAGCTATAAAACAATAGAATGCTAACCTGGCCATAGGGGAGGGTGGTTGCCCCCCCCCCTACTCCCCCTGTATCCGCCACTGTACTCAACACAGTCACCAATGAGCTCCATGCATTTCTTACCCTGTGGTATCAGACCATGGAGGCCAGGTCCAGGAGAGATGCTTTGTAGGCATTGCTGATGGCATCAGTGTCCTTAAACTGTCATCCATGCAAAATTTCCTTCCCTTTGGGGTAGAGGAGGAATTTGCTCTGACAGATTCAGCAAGAAAGCTGGTGAGTGAGCACATCCCAGTTCCCAGTCACAGCATGCATGTCTTCTGGAACATGGCCCTCCTTGAAAGCAAATAAAATCATTAAAAAGGCATAATTATGATGCAATACAATGGTGCAACAAAATAAGGATTAAAAGAGCAAGGGAAAACCAACAGTTCTTTCTGCTGACCTTGGTATTGCCATCAGTCACTCCCACTGGAATAGTTCCCATAAAAGATTATGAATTCAATGGGTGCACTCTATCCATGGAGATGCAAGAAGAGAAGGAATATGGATTAAGTCAAGGATGAAGGCATCAAGGAGAGGAGGAAGGTGGATCTCCACTGAAGCCAATATATAATGATTGAATCCATCAGATATTAATGCTACAAGGGAGAACTCCTTTTGAAAAAACCCAAGATAAGAGACTCTTCATGGGGTATAATTTGATACTTTTTCATGATGGGTCTCTCAATTTCATGGGCAAAACATATTGAGCTTATTTATTCTAAAATAAGCCATGGATACAGGATAGTAGTACCCAATAGAATAAAATAAATTAAAATGAGGACATAACTTATTTTTTCCTTTCCTTAGTCACTTTCGAGTGACACACAACATTATTCTGAGTACAAATGAAGCAGATATAAGTAATAGAAAAGACCTTGAGATCAGGGCACATGGGAGACATCTCCATCAAGATTATGCACCTGGAATTCCAATGAACACAGGTTGTGGATAGCCCCTCAAGCAAAAATTGCTCAGAGATGATTCCCACACCACCTGCTCAGGAATTAGAGAGCAGAGAGGTGGCCCCTGAAATTGAAACTGTCCATGTGTATGGGACATGTCAATGAATGTTAATTGAATTGCATTGTTTGCACATGTATTCAGCTTCCTAATGGATCATGTTAATTGATGTTATATTGCTACTTTATGTTATGAGATGATCATCAGAAAATGTTTGTTTCTCAAAATTACAACCAGTCCACTCCAATCGTTTTGATGTTATCTGATTTGATGAAAATATCCCAGAGACCTACCCAACATGTCCGTCAGTCTTCATGAAACATCCTGAAAACATCTTCGGTCAAAGGCTTTTGAACATTCCAAGAAGGATGTCTTGAAGTCATTCCTTTCAGGACATTTAGAAGTACTTGAATGTAGATGTTTTGAAGACATTCCTTTTGGGGTGTTGAGAAGAATTCGAATGGGGACATCAGAAGGATGCCCCTAAGACATCCAGAAGACTTTCCCTTCCATATGTGGAAAAGCGATCAACTAAAGATGTATTGAAGACATACCATGATGACCTTGAGACAAGTCATCCAGTTGGGTTCATCCCTGGGATGTCACTGTGTTACGTGAGCAAATACCAGTTCATTGCTTCAATAAATAAAAATAGACAGGAGGATAACCAACTGCCCAGTTCCATGACCAAAGTAGAAGACCATATGTGAGATATTCCACAAGCCTCAGACCTAATTGAAAGGAGTCCTGCTGTTGCCATGGAGAAGGACAACAAAAAGTCTGAGCATATAGTTGTTTAACACCTTGGCATCATAATTTTTCACTGAAAATGTAAAGTTTTACAAGTCTTCAATACTCAACCCAGTGTTAACTAGAATGATTGTTATTAGATAATCATACAGGAATAATACACAACCTTGCTGCACATTTCAAGCCAAACCCAATTTGTCTATCATCATTATAAACGTTTTTTGGAATTTCTTAATTTTAGTTTTAGGAAAGGGTCATGACACTGCACACCATCTAATGACATCAAGGGGTTAAGGATTGCTTTGCTCAGCCTCAGTGATGTCTCAATGATTAGTCAGTGATTAGTCACTCCCCTATGACTGAATACTGATCTCTCTCACCTTAGTCAAGGCAAAACCTCTCAATCTTGAATTCAGCTAGTGTTCATCAGCATGTCCCTCTGCTGAGGTATTGAGTAAGGCATGCTATAAAAGGAGTGACACACAGATAAGTGCTGACCCAATTTGGGACTGAGAGGTTCTAAGAGATTCTTGAGAGAGGTCAGTGTTCAGACTGTTCAGATATTTGGAATGAGATAATGACAAGTTCCTGAACCTGGAGTTGAGATGTCAATGGGACAGAGCACTAACAAGACACTGATGGATTCAGGTGGGATGTTCTCCTGTCAGCCATAACAGCGCAACTTCCCTTAGTCAAACCAAAGAGTCATGAGGAATTTCTCAAGGTGTTACACAACAGTCTGGGTACTTTGACAGCTCACATGTCTTCTGCTGGAGTTAATCCAAATCCTGAACTAGCCCATGATCATCCAGCAAAAGTTCTGGTAATGAAGGCTCCTCTCCTTGGGGTACTGAGATAGAGGAATCTCAGTAAAGATGGAGATACATATGGCCTTGTGAACTGTCACAGCCCAACAGATGATGAACTCTGATGCATTGCCTGCTGCCCAGACATAATAAGGGTTCACCAGAACAGACATAAAATAGAACCTCACATGCTTCTTTGGCCAGGGACCTCAATGGTAATGGGTCTGAGTCTTTTGAAGTACTCTCTCTCAAACTCAAAATTTGTTGTTGGGGCATCATGCATTTGCCCTGGTCTTAGGCAAACCATGTTCAATGTCCCCAGAGGTCAGTTGGCTATGACTTGAACCAAATAGATCAAGCATTCAAAGTAATCCACAGGAATGGGATTTCATCCACAAGATGAACCATAAGCACCAACAGTCAACTAGGTGTCTTCCATTGCTACAACAAAGTTGTTCACTGAACTGAAAATCACCTAAAATACATCCTAGATAACTTGGCAAAACTTGGAGTAGGTGAATAGCCATTGAGTTAGGCAATGGCCATATAAAACACTCAGAAACATATACCTGCAATCATCATCTGAAGGAAGCAATCTGGATTTGCATGGGCCTTGCTGTCTTGGATGATCATAGGAAATTGTGACCTGCTTTGGTGATGTCTGGTTGCCTTCACATGCCCTGTGCCACCTGAAAGATAAAAAATCCACTAAGTAATCGGATAAGGATAAAAATGACTGAATGAGAGTCATAAGACTGAGTGAGGATCAATGAGAGGGGTAGACACCCAGCAAGCTCTCTGATTATATGTTTGTGCTGTCACCTTTGCACTCCTTGGATGTTGAAAATTCACTGATATCCCAGTGTCCCTTGGACTCACACTAGTGGCATTTGGGTTGGAGAGATATCTTGTTGTCCTCTCAGGCCTGAAACATATATAACCCTTTTGCACTCCACAGTCATGCTCCATGTACCATAACTGAGCTGTTCATGTTCTGTGGGGCAAGACAGTGGAGTGCAAAGGGTTAAGATCAAGAATCCTACAATTTCATACACAAGAGTATGACGACTGAAGAATCCATGGGGACACACCCACCCTGGATGCATATTGGTGCTGATCTCCTTGCACTCCTTGGATGACACAGAGTGGCATCAGGGCATCTCCTGGACTCATGCAAGTGAGATCTAGGTTGTGCTATCTCTTTCATCTAGTGTCTTTCCTCCTTGTTTCATCCCCAGCTCATGCATTATGTTCTGTGATATATATCAAGCATTTCACAAGTTAAACTCACTTTGCAGGTCTATCCATGTCTAAACTGTGAATATAGATAAATCACTCCCTTCACCATGGAACATGTCAAGACTCCAGCTTTATAGTAAAGGATAACCAGTATGTGACTATCCATGGACAATTTCCTCTCCATCCTTCCCTGTTGCTCTCAGGACCCTGATACTACAAATTCCTGCCGAAACTGTTTAAAATCCCACATTCTGACTGTTGCACCTTATTACGATGCAATTGCATCGGAAGAGCATTTTTCTCTCGAGGTCACATGTCCCTAGAAAAATATTTTTGAAAGTCGAGTTCTTCCAGCAAAAGTGGACGTCAAGGACTCCACAGAGATTTTAGATTGAAATGATTCGTGACGCTGTTCAGAAGGGGGTTTGAGTAAAATCAATCGAAAATCACTGTATTTGGAGGCTGAACAGGCCTTTGTTCGCATAGACTTAACATTAGGCCTACAAGGTCGTCGGACACGTGGATGCCTCATCGTAACATCTAGGCCTTGGTGACTCGCATTGCAATACGCAGCGGGCACGAAGAGAGACCTTTCCTCGGCAAAACACCTGGTAAGCCTTCACGGTTAATTAATAAATGTGTAGAAAGGCAAGCAGTCTAACTTTCCTTGATTGGGACACAACGCCAATGGGAACCATGAAGTTGGGTTTCGGTCGCTCAGTTTTGAGAAAAAATTGCAACGAGTTCCCTGTTAAACTCCTAGGAGTCCAATAATTTCTTCAGCATCTCATGTCCTTTCTAACGAAAACGGGAAATTGAATTAAGGGCTTCTTAATTCAAGGGAGAAGGGGGGGGGGGGACATCTCTCGGCGGGCCTTCGTTGAGCACGTGCTCCCACGCATAACCTCACACAGTGATAAGTGTTGATCATCGGGCGTCAACAGTGAAAAGACCACGGTATTTTTTTTCATATTCTGTCATTTGCTTATTTTACATATTCTGTCTTTCCATTCAGAATTCTGTCATCTTTGCAGGGCTTTCGAGAATGGTTAACACGCAGTCTCCTGATTGTTGCATACATGTGCCACTAGATGTCAGTAATAGTGGTTTCCCTTTTGCCATATGGTGACACCCTCTGTCGTCTCCGCATCCTCTATCTTATGCCTCCCTCTACCAGTGGCGTAGCGAGGGGGGGGCTGGGGGGGGCTTCAGCCCCCCAAGTTTAGTTCAAGCCCCCCAACTCTGGTCGAAATGCGTCCGCCCCAACCTGACAAGGCGAAGTTAGCCCCCCCAACGTTCTGCTTAGCCCCCAATTAGCCCCCCCAATTTTCCGCTTAGCCCCCCCATTGACGAAAACCTGGCTACGCCACTGCCCTCTACCTGTGCTTGTTTCTAATCCCTGTCATAAGCCAGCCTTGACATATCCGTGGGTCTCTTATAGTTACGATGGGCGTAGATTTACGCTAGGCCTTGGCCAAAAGAATTCAGTTGGCCATGATTCCCCGAAAGTGTCATGTTTCGTTGAGACCACATCTATGAATGGCAATCGCCTCATCTATTTTGAACCCCAGGCCAGTGAAACAGTGAACATTACTTTGGTGAGGAATTGTGATGAATTGAGAAGTCTCTTCGGCTGTTTCATCAATTGATTTACAGTGTTTTTTTTACTTGAGTCAGACATTTTTCACTTGACTGACACTTGTGCATGGAATGTACCTTATGCATGGGTGTCTGAGTCAAATGAAAATGTGTCTGACTTAGGTGAAAAGCATTGTAAAATCTTCTCTCATTCAGTCCGATGTCACCAAGCGTAGGATGTCAGACAATATCATGAGTATTGATTTAAATCAATATCAGCAACATGTATGATCATTGCTCCATGTTACATTTTTAAAAATTTTTTAAGTATGAATTATTGACCCATGTGCAGTTACAAACATTGAGCAAGGACCAAGGATTCAGGATTTGTCCAAACATATCCTAAATCGTTGAGATGCAGAAAAATCTCGAAAATCCATCGCATGTTAGCTGCATATCACAGTGTGAATTTTCCTTCGAGGCTTTTTTTACACCTGAAATATATTCTAGCTTGCTACGATAATGAATCCATGCTGAAAATATTATTCCTTAGGAAGATCTGTCAATATTGCAATGTTCACCATATCCATCATATATATCCAAAGTGAACCATTTTCAATGTTGGTCAGCATTTCGCAATATAGCTTTTTTTTTTCCTGCTTGGGTGCGTCATAGCAGCTAGAAGGACTTCCTTCAGGAGTAACGGAAGCATAGAAACTGGATATGGCCATTTTGATTCGTTGTCCCCATGTGATGCTTTTTCGAAATTGTTAGGATATTCTTTATTTCCCTAGTAGGATTCGTTAACGTAGCTAGACCGAGTAGCAAGATTGACAAGGCTGAAAAGTGCTGATCAATTGCGATGCTTGGCTTCAAGGAGGTTGATAGTTGCTCAGATCCCTGCCTTATAGCTCATTAGTTTGTACTCGTTACTGAAGCGAGAACAACGTTTCGATGCAGTTTCAATTTCATTTTAAAGAGAGTCATGTAAAAGGGTGCGATTAATCATGTGGTTTACTTTTCAAATTGGTTGGACCTCCACATGTTGACATATTTCCAACTGGGAAACGTAGTATCCAGTTGGTATGCAGCATTTTCAAGATTCGTCGGATCTCTGCATTATGGCGCTATTCTACCTGGTTTCATAATCATAGCTAAGCAGACTCGGTTACGGCAGGATAGATGATGTAGAGAAGTTACTCGCCCATAGTTACGATCAGGCAACACGTCACGTTGGACCCACGTTGACTGTGATAGGGGAGCGTTGGCCAACTTCGTGGGGGGGCTACCAATTTGCAGTGGGCTACATTTGTAGTACGTGTTTTTGTGTCATCTATCTCTCTTATTCAAACAGAGAGTTCCCCAAACTGAAGCGAGATGACGCCAAAAAAGCCGATTTTAGAGTGCCTTATTTTAAGTTCCCCGTATTATTCATGCTATACCTGGTCTATTTCCCATAGCCAACGTAGTGGAAGACACTCGAATTCCTCACTTCATTTTCTAAAATGGTTCAAGAGTCCGGAAGGACTCCTTGAAATTGTAGAGGAAGAATGGTTCGACTAGCGAGCTGACTTAATGGGGCAAGAGTATTTCGAAAGTCGATCCTTCGATTGTGGAAGCCGTGTCTTACACCCCTTCGGGTATGTAGTTCCAGGTGTGATGAACGAGATCCCTCAAGGGTTCTTACATGACAGGCACTTGCGAAGCGCGAGAGGAACCAGATGAGTGATGGTCATCCATCTCTCATCTGATTCCTCACAGTAGGGTTCTAATCCAGTGTGGAATGTAAATGCATCAGGAGGAGGCAATCGAGGGAGTTAGTACTCTCTGAAGTACTCACAGCCGGGCCGAAGGAGTCGACGACAAGGTCTCCGGTAGGGGAGCATAACAGTCATAGAGGTTTGCTCCAGGCCTCTCCAAAGTGCCTGAAAGTTACATCCCACGTCAGCGTTTAATGATGACCTAATGTGGGCTTCTAACGTTAACCCAACGTGTGAATTGATGTTGGCTCAACGTGGGGCCGAGGGAAAAGCCTACAAGGGCCCAATATTGGTTCCAAACGTGGGGCCAACATCGCATATGCGGGAATCCAACATAATCCCATGTTGGATTGCTGTCTCCTGTTAGATCCCAGGGCTAAGCGGAACGGTTTGGGGGCTGTCCTCACATTTCACCGGCGGGAGGGGGGGGATGCATTTTGACCATAGATGGGGGGCTGAAGCTCCCCCCCTTGCTACGCCACTGATCATAAACCAGTACGTTATCCTCAATCATCCTTCACTCCATATCCTTTCTAAAAGATTTCCTTCTAAATGCTGATTCTTGCAAGATCTCCTACTTTAAACGAAGATAATTTTTTATTCTCTTTTTGAAATAGGCGATTTTCAAACAGTTCAGAGTACAGGTTCATCCAGACTTATCTCCTGTTCTCATTCACATCGATCGTTGTACGATATATTTGCTGACAAAGTGTTTCCTATAATAACACCTATCGACGATCTCGTCTAAGATATTGAGCCATCTGTAATTGTTCTGAATCTCGAATTCCTTCCGCAGGTTAGTCTTCTTCGTTCGATTAAATCTCTCTGCATTAGATCAGGGGTGTTAAGCATACGGCTCGCAGGCCGAATCCAGCCTGCGGAGGTGGTTCATCCGGCTCACCGTCTGTTCTTGAAATTTCTGCTTGGATTGACAGTCAGCACAAATTTCAGTGGAAAATTATGGGTGCGACCCGCAGGCATCTGCAGGGTAAGGAATGCGGCCCGCTGACCAATTTGAGTCTGACATCCTTGCATTAGATGATTTGATTTCTGATTTCGTTGAAAACAATATAATTCCACAGTATTTGCACATGTTCTTGAAATCTCCTTTAAATCTAGTTGTTTATTTTCAATGGGAATGCATCCACCTCTCTTTCACAATATTAATTCAACGACATCAATTCAATCGCTGCTACATTATCCATGGTTCACGTCGTGCAATTAAAAAAACCTAATCGTGTTATTCACACTTCTTTGCACCTTGAACCACTTAGGCAAGACTTCGTCGACGTCATCTCGAGTACTGTAGATCTTTCAAGTTTCTTGCTTTGTGGCATATTTTTCTCGTAAGCACGGATAAAGCCGGCACGATTTTTCAAATTATGGAAACACGAACCATGTTCACAAGCGACGTCGGCTTTACTTCGCTCACTTTCTCTTAAACGAATCATGCACACTTTCTTGTCAATCGTGAAGGCTTGCCTCTTTCGCTTTTCACTAACCATGTTGTCATCGAGAAATACAAATGGCGACTGACGATAGGGTAAAACTGTCTACGTTCGGACGCCATAACATAAATTGCTATGAAACAAAGCATTTGTGAGGTCACTCTCAGAAACAGTTCTTCCGAGCTGAGAAGAACTATTTCTGAGGGAGTGTTCACCAATGCTTGGTTTTGTAATGATGTGACGATTTTGTCGTCCATTCAAGGTCCCACTGACCTTGAATGGACTTAGTTATAACCGAAGTTTCGTTATAGCCGAGTTCGACTGTAATTCATCTACAAGTGTTTCTAATGTTTATCTCATATACTGATTTACTGCTAAGTTACCCCTTCTAGACTAGATGCGCGATTGCTGTGAAAGTCGTGATTTATATGATTAACCATATTTTTTTATTTTCATCGATGTTCTTTAGGAAATGCGCTGCAAATAGTCTGAATGAGCTTTCGATGCTTCTTTTCATCCCAATAGAGAGAAACGATCAATCTGTTTTGACCATCGGAATACGGTTTTAATATTCTTCCTATTAGATTCTTCACGTTTTCTTAATCAGATATGAGATAATTCTCGAATTCTTCGATAGGAGCGAATACTTCTCCCATGTATACAATAGTTAGTTTTTAGATCTCTGATAAAGGATTTATATAACATCAGTGAAGAATGATATGAAAAAAACTTTTATCGATCAAACACTTGACAACATGTTAGAAGCTAAAGAATTTAAACTATAAAGTCTAAACATTAAAAAGCCCAGAAAGAAGCAAACCTTAAAATACGTATTTACGAAATTAATAACTTGTAATTACATGTTATTGATTACGTAGGTTGTGTATCTGCCATCGTTGGACATTCCTGCCATGAAACATAACAGTTGCAGGAATTCATGTTCATGGCCTCCTTGTTTGGAGGAGGCTACTTTGCACATTTGCCCCTTCAAGAACCTTTTGTCGAAAGTGATATTGAATATATGTACTGATATATATTATTGAAATTTTTCATGTCGAAAGCACAAGGCCTTACTGTATTATCGCTCGCTTTCGACAAGGAAATAATTTCTGTTCAATATCAATTTTTCGGTAGATGGTTGGAGTTAAGCATGCATCCTCCAGCTCATGAAGAATATCCCAACCACCTAAGTTCATAACTTAGAAGAAAGTCATCTCTGAATGATGTAAGATATTTCCTACGGGTGTATGACAATGTAATAACTAGCGAAGGCAATTGGGAGCACCGTCTGACGCATACCATCGACCAATTCAAGTAATATACTCCATTACCTCATCTAACAAACCATACTGTTTTCTACACAAGAATGGTCTTCATCTTCTCCGACACGGAGGCGCAAGACCTCCGAAATTTCATAGTTTTATCTATCATGTATCAAGATAATTGAAGCGGAATAGGTGTGTCGCATGGGGTGGGTAAGGAGATGGACCTCGGCCAACTTTAGTGTTTGACTCAATCCTAACCTTGACGGAGGACTTCTAGTCTTGCCCCTATCACCTTAGAAGCAGACAATAAAACTTGAACCACTCTTCCTCTACTCAAACTAGTGGAACAACGTGGACTTTGCAGAAGTGGTAGTCTTGTGTTTTATGAAATAAGGAACGACAGTGACTGATAATCATACGTGATATTTATTCTGAGCAATTTGTTTGTAAAAAGGGACATAGAAGATCGACGGGGGGAGGGCTAAATTAAACGTTATTACATCGAATCACCGTTCGATGGTACCTCATGGATCTGGCTTGGAATACCGCCTCCTGTTCATCACCAACAATCATCACTGCTTGGTGCTTTTTTGTTTTGTTTTTGTTTTCATAATACTGGGTGGACTGGGTCTTACCTGAAACTGATGCAGAGGGAATGGAGGACTGAATAATTTTTCATACGGATAGGTGCCGATTGTCTTCTCCAGGAACCTGACAGCCTCGTCCAAATCCTCTGGTCTGCAATTCTGCATCCCTGCAAATACAAGTCCATTCCATGCGGATGAAGATGTGAGCAAACGGAGTGACGATCTGCAAATATTTCAGTTCGATGGAGGGGAGTCGATCCGAGGCGGATCAGACGGTTTTATGCAATCAAGGGAGCTTCAGGCGCATCATAAAAACAGGTGAATACGTTCTACTTTATTTCATTTTCACTTGTCTGGATCAGTCCAGGCCGTCTATCCTGTCTGCCATTCTTCAAGGATAGTGCGAGAATATTACTTGAGTTCTGTGACTTCGGCACGCGAACGAACTAAGGCAGCAAACGATTCGATCATTTTGGGGAAATTTTTTTTGCTATCGAGAAAACACTTTTTAATCTCAGATTTTTTATTCGCTGACTAATCCCAACTGCTTCTACCCGAGCTTGCAGTGTGCTCAATACATCTGAGATGTCATTTGCAGCGAATTTTGAAATTCGCAGGTATTTGTAGGAGATATGATAGCAAATCGACAGTCCCTCTGCAATTTAAAACAATTTAATGCGATTGGAATGGCATATGGTAAGAGCAATATATATATATTTTTTTAATATTATCACTGAGACTGCCTATCGTCTGCGCTCAGCCATGTTGGAGCGCACGCAACTGGCGTAAGGCGGCTTGCCAGCTGCTCTTTGCGAACCATCATAGTGCAGGTCACAGATTACTGGTTCACTACAATATTTCATACTTCAACTTTTCGGTCAGCGTTGAAGATGGTAGTTCGTGCCATACGAGTCAATTGCTGCTAAAGTGTTACTCATGGTAAAATGATGTTTGTGTTCACACTCTCTTCATTCTTCCGGGCTGTGTAAATTACATCTGCCTGCTGGACAAGTTTCTTTTCATACGTTGGCACAAAGATTGCAAATATTCTTCGAGGAGGACCTGCTTTCAGGAGATGCCGATTCTGACAGCGATTATGAGCCATCAACTGACGATGGAAAAGTCGACATCACTGAAGAGTCTTCCCAAGGGAAGCGATGACGACGATCGCCTGGAAGTGCCGAGCGCTTTTCCGACTGATAATCGAATCTACTTGTAAAGGAACCGTCAGGAGACTTGGCACTTGACTCCAAGAAGAGCGGTACAAGGTTGACAGTGTGACATTGTGTGATGCGCGGTCAGCCAGGTCCAAGTTGGCACGCTTGTCGAAAAATGGACTCAACTGAATCTGCCTTCAAACTTTTCGTAAAGGGCTCGATCCTTCGTCTAATCCAGAATTGCCAAACTGACGAATTGCGAAGTCCATTTCACTAGTTGGTTTTGAAAAAGCGCTGAGATTTCCACCAGTTCGCATTAATAATTTGGTTTAAGATTTATTAGTGTGGCCCCCAACCACCCCTGAAGGGTTCCATCAGGCCCCCAGCTTATTCGAGTTTGACACCCTTGGTCTAATCCTGTCCTAGTCGAACAAGGTGGGGCGACTCCTTTACGGAAACGAATGGATTAATGAAGCTGAACTCGATTGCTTCATCATCTTGTACATCATTGCTAGAGTTAGCATCAGGGCCGCCCAGAGGGGGGGAGGCAAAGGGCGCAATCTGCCCCGGACCCTGCGTATCAAGGGGTCCCAAGAGGGGACCTCCAAAGAGGGCCCCAAGGGGTCTCTGGCTTAGTTTTGCCCTGGGCCCCTGGAAACCTCTGGGCGGCCCTGGTTAGCAAGGCTCACAATGAAGCGATCATACAGCTGCGAAATCAAGAGGACGGACCCATCTTTGCTAAATCAATTATATTTTTGATTGATTTAGATCTTTAGATTTTGATTGATTGATTGATTTGCTAAATCAAGACGGGGATTCCAAAAAATTGCCCATGTCCTTCGGTTTGACGACGCTGAACTAGACGTCGACATAGAAAAATGGAAAAACTTCAACCGATCAGAGATTTATTTGAAACGTGGGTGGGTCGACACTGCCAGACTGTTACATCCCACATGAAAACCTGACAGTTGACGAACAGCTGATCACTTTCCACATCGCTGCCCTTCAAGCAATACATCCCTTCAAAGTCCGGTAAGTGTGGAAACAAAATATGGGCTCTTTGCGACAGTAAGACTTCATATATCTGCAACATGCAAGTCTATACTGGTCGCAATGAAGAGGAAGTCAGAGAGCAGAATCACGGAAAGCGGGTTGTCATGGTTATGATGCGAGGGGTGGAAAGATCGGAAGGGAATGTCACGTGCGATAATTTCTTCACCAGCCTTCTCTGGCACAACGATCGAAAGCTGTTAACATCAGCATTCTTAGAACGATTTGGAAGAATCGAGGTGAATTTCCAACTGAGTTGAAAGCGGGAAAAAAAAGAAATACTCGTCAGTCTTCGCCTTCCAAGATGAAGTGATGCTGATTTCCTATTGACCAAAGAAAGGGAAGGTGGGCGTACTGTTTTTCTCTTCTACAACATTCTCGACGTCGTTGCCCTCAACGCCTTCATCATCTGAATGCACCAGAAGCCAGATTGGAAATCGAGTCGTTCTCATCGACGGATACTTTTTCTCTTTGAGCCAGGCAAATGTCTCATGCCAGCCAACGAGAGAGGAGAGAGCCAATTCCTATGAAGCCAATGGAGAATCCGACGAAACGAGGACGGTGTACATATTGTGATAGATCAAACGAACTCGATTACCCTTTTCTTCGAAAATGATATGTACCGCCTAATCGCTGCTTCGACCTTGCACACAAAGGACCACTATTTGGATTGGATTTGTACAACTGGTTGACCCGACTTCTTTTTCATCCTCGAAGGTCGAAATGCACGACGTTCTCATACCCCAACCGACCTCTGTTCGTATTCTGAGAGCACATGTCTATATTCTTTTCAGATATCCTGCTTTGGAATCTGATCGACGTTGGACACTTGCAAAGAGATGCATTTCAGAAAGGTATATCCGAGGAGAGATGCATCTAGGAAATGCTTCCCTCTGAGACAGCACTCTTGAATATTGAAATGGATGTCGAAAAGAGAAGTAAACGAGAGGGATAGGAACAATCGAACCATACCCGTGATGGTGAGACATTTACTGAGAATGTCCTCCCCACTGAGCGAGAAGAGAGCATCGGAATGTCCGGTGCCGATCAGCAGGTACACCCCGCCGGGCTTCAGCATGGCCAGTCCTTCCTCCACCGCCCTCGGGTCTCCGCTCGTCTCCACCACCAGATCCACTCCTTCGTCGTCCTCCTCCTCTTCTTTCCTCCAATCTTTCGGCGACAAGGCGAAGGCATAGTCAGCACATAAAGAACGGAATCCCCGTCCTCAGACTTTTATTTTTTAAGTCGTCAAATCGATTTGGAGAAGATTTCACATAGACGCTTGGCTGCGTCGTGCCCTCTGACCCATCCGTTAGAACCAGCATGAAATATACTCTCTCTCCTTCTCTTCATATCAAACCTACCATTTTATCTCGTACACATCTTCCTTTTCCTCTTCTTCAAGATGTGCTAGAAACTTAGTTGTCTTTGCTGACAGTCGTCACCTACTTCGCCTTAAACTTTAAGCAGAGGCAATGCCTATCGTAGAAGCTGCACCAGACGAATTTTTAACCTTTCCAGATGATCGGGCAAAATTCAACAGCAAACATAATTCATATCCGCACGGAAAAGAAATACAATAATAATTAAAGCATTTTTGTAATGCTCTAAGAGCTGTAATTTCCAACATGCTAAGACCTGACAGGTAGGTATAAAATAGCTGTGAAGGGGAATTAGTGACGATACTTTTTCCCCTTCTGAATTTTTATTTATTTAATTATTTTCCTTTCTGAATTTTTATTGGCGGTGGTGGCTCTTTGGGACTTTAGTGGAATGTACTGCATGCTTCCTTCGGATGGAAGGTCAGGAATGCTGTGGTCTGGCGGGTTTTTATTTTTGGAAGGGTATGTCAGATGGAGTATTTAGAGCTTCCTGATTGAATCCTACCTTGTCGGAATAGGCGGGTAGCGCCGAAATGGGAAGCCATCTGGAGTCTCGCGTCGTTCTTGTCGCAGGCCAGGACCTCCGAGAACCCCGCCTCTCTCAAATACATGCAGCTATAGACCCCGACGAGTCCGAGTCCCTGACGCAAGAAAAAAACGGTGTCGGTGAATCGTTGGGTGCCGACATGAAAGGACCCCGACCAAGAGCGACCGGCACCTGGACGCAGGCCCTGGCGGAATTCAGACGAGGGAGGAAAGTGGCGATGGCCTTCCGCAGGCACCCGACCGCCGTGGCCATGCCGCAATTCAAGGTAGCGGCCGCTGGATCTGGGATGAGATCGGGAACGGCCACGATCCGGGTCCTCTTCCGCACCAAGACGTGAGTCGAGAAACAGCCACTTAGACCCCCATTTTCTTGAATCTTCCTTTCGCCGTACTGCCGGGGAATCGAAATCACATACGGTTGATGTGCCGTTCGGTTGCCGCGTGGAAGAGTTCCTAAGCCTACCTTGAGAAGATGTGGGCATTTCTGAGGGAGACCCGCGAGGCACGCGTGGCATTCGAAGCAGGCGTCGATGGTGGAAAAGGTGACTCTCGTCCCGGGATCCACGCCTTCCCTCTTCGACGACAACACGCGACCCACGCCTTCGTGGCCCAGGATGCTAACAGTCGAGCCAGTTAGAATTTGTAAGTTTGCATGACCAAATTTACGTTCAGTCGTGTGACGGCGTTGCATCGAGCGAGATGGTAACAGATAAAAAAATCCCTACAATCAGGTACTGAACCAAACGAGACGAATGCGATCTTAGCTCAGTAGTATTCGGGGTACTTTGAACGGAACGAGTGTTGAACGAAAAAGTTCAGAGGGTGCTCTTGACAAAAATCTCCGAACTCTGGGTCAGTTTCGACGAGTTAAGTACCAATGGATTCGTACTACCCGAATGGTGCAGTGGATTCAGCTTTATTGGGACACCTTGGTTCCAGGCTAATTTGCCCCAATAATGCGAACTTGCCTTCCATTTACCTTAACGATTCCGTTCCTGACAAAATTCCTCTATAAACTGGCTGCCCCCATTAACTGCATTTGGCTCACAGTTATATGATGTATAGGATCACAGAGATAGGATTGTCATTACCGATAAGCTCCTGCAGTGAAGAACAGATTGAAAATGAAGACATTCACTCTCTTGGACTAAGGGAGGTAGAGGCCCGGGAGAACGAAACGTCCCTGTCCTCTAGCCTCCTGAGTGCACCAGCCGATTCAGGCCTTCACTGACAGCTAGTACATCGCATTGGAAATCCTAGAGACTTCATTGATGGAAGGCTTTGTGGGATCGATTCTTAGGGTGGATTTTTGAACAGAGAACTATCCGATAATGCAGCTTTATTTCAAAGAAAATGCATTATAAATCCAGTAAATAAATAAAGCTGCATGATCGGATAGTGCTCTGTTCAAAAATCCACCCTTAGTGTCCTTTGGTATAGTCTGCATTTACAACTTTTTCACGGTTAAGAAGGCAAGATACTGAGCCTTCAAAAGCTTCTGAGCATGAGGTTACCACAATCAGGGAAATGAAAAGGACCGACGGTCCTTTTCCTCCATTTTAAATTATGCACGTTGAGGTGCTGCCCTGGTAGCTGCGCGTATCGCGTCAATTTGTCGCAGTACTTTCCGTCGGCAGACAAGTAGGCGCGTCGAACTGATCGAAGGAAGGTCGACAGTTGCTCCCTGTCGCTAGAAAAATTCCTCGCATTAAAATTCGTGGACGATCAGATTAGGGAATTTTGAGTTTGCATTAACTTCTAAACGACTCATGGAACTCCCTTCAGCAAAGAAGTAGCTGGACCAAGATAATTAAGTAATTTCTTGTGAGCTAAGAAGTACCATGTGATCAATCCCTCCCCGCTGTTTTACAACAAGTCGCGCACAAGGGAAAGTGACATAAGCCTGGAAGAATGCGCCTCTTGATGAAAATGGATGGACCCAGCCGTGCCACCAGGACGGTGGCAGCTTCTCGCCTTCAGAAGTCGTCGCGGTCAGAGGAATGTTCCACGCGTAAGCGAAGGTTATTTATGGCCTTTGTACGCGGTCTCGCCCGAGTTCGAATCGCACGTGTGTTCTCCCTTGTTTCTTCTTCGTCTCGTCGTTAAAGACTTCCAGCCTTGGGGATTCGAATGCTCAGGCACGTGACGCTTCCAGGGCTCGAAGTGTCTCTGTTTACGTCGCACGTAATTATAATCACGAGACGCAAGTTTGGGCTGCCCACTTTATGTCGTGGGGAAAAGCAATGAAGAAATAGTGCACCCAAGCCAAATGTGCGGTTTTTCTACGTGGCACTTCACTTTATGTCTGAACGGACCGAGTGAGATTCCGCTTTGAACCGGCATGCTAAATTGAGTCGAATCATTCGACAACAGGACCTTGCGACGGCGATATAACAATTATTGCAAATAATTGCTGTATCGCGGAACAGTCGCAGGTCACGAAATTTCTTTTCGATGGAAGGAATTGTGACGAAAACTCGTAGCTTCTTAGCAAAATAGCGGACCAGGCACTAACTGCCTTATATTTTAATCGATTTCTGGTCTTGAGTGACGACAATCGAGTCCCACATTTCATTTCTCATTGTTCTGGGGCTAGCAACAAAGCTCCGGATTAATTCAATGTCCGGACTCAAATTACATCAAGGTCTTGGCGCCACCATTCCGTAGTCAGGTGTATCATAACCGATGATCGGTCCTTTTTAGGGGGCGCGGAAAGAGTTCCGGTCGTTCCTGATGTCATCATGAGTCCAGGGCATGCCAAAATAAAGCGTCACGACCACATGCGTCCATTCTGCCTTAATTTTATCAGCTCCCATTCCCAGGATCCATTTAAAAAAAAAAGAAAAAAAATTCATTGAGGAAGAGGGATTCGTGTACGAACGGAGACAGTTCCAATTAAACGACCAGTCTAAAGAGGATCGCCGAAATGTCCGTATTAAGATCTTATCTATAGTTGAACTATTCTTATGCCCGAATGCACAAACATCATTTAAGAGAGATAAAGGGACCTTTCAGCTAGAAGATCTCTTTCCCCCCATAGGAGTCCATGTATTCTTAAAGGACCGTTAACTGAAGGAGATTTATGCATTCGGGTCTTAATATTCAAGCCCGACCGTCTCGAAGATCCACCGGCTCGTATTCCTCTCTAAGAGGATTTTGAGGATTGAAATGGAGCATTTCGAACACAGAAACGCTCGAGCGAATTTGAAGCGCCTTCTCTCTCCCTTCCCCCTCGATTAGCCACACCTGGGGTGTTTCCGGATTGGAGCGTGGTCCTGCTTTCGTCTCGATGTCTCAATCTGCTTGCACTTTTTCTAGCCGAGTTCAGATGAGTGGAGACTGATGCGTTAGCAATGGCAGAGAGACGCGACCCATTTCGGACACATCGTCCCTCGCCGATCATCCTTCACCGATCATCCCTCACTGATTGCCTCCAACATTTGCTTCGACTTGGGAGGCACTACTAGAGTGTGCTGGGCGTTCGAGTCGAGATGCATCGAGAAATTCGAGGTTCGTAAGTCAGTCAGCTCGAATAATGTCCTTAGACTGCCCTGACGCTGACGGTGCTCGGAATTGCACGTTCTGAAATACGGCGAGGCGTAGGAGCACGATAAAGTCGGCGTCCGAAAGCATTTTCCTTCGACATCGATGGATCGAAAAAATTAAAAAGTGATTAAACGCGACTGTTGCGTGACAGAATGAGGGCCATGCGAGCGAAAAGCAGGAATTCAAAGAAAATGTTAAGTAATAACAAAGTACAGGATGATTATGAAGGATTCTAGATCAACACGCCTTTGTGCCGAAACAGAAAGGTAACGGTAAGGTAAGATGTTGATGGTGCCATCTCAGCTGTGACAAGTGGCACACGGTACTTATTCCAGTACTTTCCAAATCTTGCCGCCATGGCGGCATACCTATGCTTATTATCCAGAAACGCCATGGAAAAAATAAAATATATACGCTGTTGATGCGACAGACCAGTATAGATAAATGAGGAACGAATATACATTTCTTCACGAGTGGCACGATCTGAATGCAAGTCATGCCGCGATGGCGCCCTCGGCAGCCAGGTATTGTAAATGGATCCCCCCCGTGCCCCCGGTCGAAACTGGGGGCACGTACGACTGCGCGTACGACTCGAAACCTCCGAAGGACTTCTCCGAGCATCCGGTCGGCGTGCGACGGTCGTGCGTGTCGTCCCGGGTTTCACTGCGGTTTTCGTGCCGTCGAGGGCTGCAATTTCCCGCGGGTAAATTGCTGGGTCCCTGGCTCCTAATTTTCTCGTCATCTGGTTTCCGTGTCGTCGGCTCGTCTTCGTTCGCAACCGCCTGGGTCCTTTAGTCCTTTTGTCCTTTGATCGCGTTTCGTCGCGAGGGTTGAGGCTCTATCGGCCGGGAAAAAGGCGGGCCTGTCAAGCGCCTATGCTTATTCTGCTTCGTAATTACCTGTTGCTCTAGTGATTTTGGGTGGTTCATCGAGGATGGAGAAACGATTCATCGCATCGCCCTAATGAGGGAGGGGGCGAAGAAAGAGAAAATGTATTTGGAAATAAGATTTCCGTATAACCCCATTTTCAATGAAGCCGGCGCATCGAACTCGTGATGAATTTCGGCTCCTGGGACCATCGAATCGATCCCAGGAGCCCGAGAACGTTTCAGCCGACCATCTACGAATCTCCCAGCTAAAGATCCATTCGGTGCGGCATCATCGCGAGACCGACTAAATCCAATCGCATCCCTGATTCCTGAACGACCGATCCCAAGGGTCCAAGATGAAACTCGATCAGCTGAAACGCCATTCCGACCTGCCAGACAGACCGATCGATCGCACGCGCTGCCACTCGCCCCCATCCGACTCGTGCGACGCCCTCTGTCCCGATCCGGTCGGGAGGGCGTCCGGCGCGAAGCATCCGTTTGATAGGGTGACATCCCTTCGTCGAACGACCCGGCGCAGAGACCGGCATCACTGTCGTGGCATCACTGTCTCTCTTTGCGTTCGGTCTCTCGGAAATCTCAGCGTGAGTAAGCGGAAGAAGATACTGCGTAACGCGATAAAGAAATCCGTGGTATCGAGTCTATTTTTAACCCCCGGAGGATTTACCGACCCCAATAGACTTCGTTTTTGAGTGCGCGGTCAAGTGATAAACACGCTCGAGAGAAACGTTGGCGTCTCGGTGTTTCATCGCGGTCTTTGAAATGAAATCGATCGCTGCTGCGCGGGGGCGCCGCGAAGTTGGGTCGGTCGGAAGAAAAAAAAAGATTCCGAACCGGGTCGTATAACTTTTTACTGCTTCGAAGTCGATCGAAGGCATTTCGCCTCGAAGGGCCGAGATGTGGGGTTTGCGTCACGCCCGGTCGCTGGAAGACTGACCTGTATGGCGTGCGAAAGTCCTTCGAATCCTTTTACAACCCTTGCGAGTTCTCGGAAGGCAGATTTAAAAAAAGAAATAGGGACGACCAGTTCGAGTCCGACTATTGTGGCAGCCTGACTCTCCCAGTGTTTGCTTTCGCAGCTCTGTCAATTGACCGATCGGCGTTGCACGAAACTTCTTCACACCTTCAATTGCATTCTGAGATGTCGGAGAACTGCTTAAATTTTGAGGGTTATTCGCGGATCGGGCGTTGGAGTGAGCGTGGGAAGGGGAAACGAGAGAGACATCTGGTGCGGGTCGAGCGAAGGTTTCGATAGCCCATTAATCGATCGGGACACAGTCGGGAATCGGAAACCTCTTTCCCCCGTTATTTTTCCTGTCCGCTTAGATAAAAAAAAAGAGAAACAAAAAAACAACAGAAATCGCTGGACTCGTCTCGAGGTACCTGGGAGTGGGTTGAGTGCGTTGTCCCGTCAGAGTTCGCAGGTCGGATCCGCAGATCGTCGCCGTCTCCATCTTTAAGAGCAGCTCGCCGTCTTCCAGGTCCTAAGGGGAAGGGCGTGATTTACAGGCGGTCCGCGGCGTTTCGCCGAGAGGGGAGGTGGGGGACTCACGCGACGCGACGGGAGGGGAGCCGTCTCGTGGATGAGCGACGGGTGCCGGTCCTTCCCGAGGAACACGAGGAAGGAGCACCGGGTGCCGGCTTCACTTCCGCTGCTGGCCGTCATCGTTTGCGACACTTCACATCCTTTCGATGCCTTCTTGTTTCTGTCTCGCCGGGTGTTTCCACGGCGCACCACGGGTGATCCACCTTATCCGCAGGTAATCCACCTTATCCGGAGGTAATCCAGCTTATCTGAACGAAATGGCGTCAGCGCGAAAGAAAAGAGGGACACTCGTCTCGTCGTCACCGCACGAAATGGACACTCGGGAACCCCTTTCCCCCCGTTCTCCCCCTTTCGCCCCCCCCCCC